CTTTAAAATATAAAAACTATTCTCCCTGAAGGATAACTGAAAAGGAAAAAGAATCCCATAGCATTGCAGCTAAAGAGGAAATAACAAATACAAACAAGAATTACAAAGACTTACACACTGTGCAGATTAATCTTGATATCAACCTGATTGGATTAGGCGATTTCTGGAGAAATCATCAGCAAGTAACTTCTGGATGAAGTAGGTCATGGGAGCATGACCTGAGGAACTATATTTAGTACTTGGTCTCTTCCTTTCTAGCTTCCTCCTACTACTCTGTTTCCTGGATGTCATGGGTTGAGCAGCTTCACTGGCCATGCTCTTCTACCATGTTTTTGTCTTGCCCTCAGCCAACCTTAGAAACCATGGGACCACATAAACCTTTTCTCCTTTAAATTGTGTATGTTAGGAATTTTGTCCTAGCAACAGAAAGCCAGCCATTTCAAAGGTACTGCACTCAGCAATAGTTAATTATACAGTCAAGCTCTACGGAAACATAAAGTGAATGCAATCACTAATAAAGGACATATGGTGATAATGGTAGAGACAACACAACACAGAGTAGATCTTACCATTGCTAGTAAGACATTAAACCTCTCTGTGTACTTTTAATATCCTTTTCTATTACAAAAAGAAACCTGTTATGGTGTAGGTATAAAATGTACTCCAAAAGTATCATGTGTTGGAACAGTGACTGGATCACTGGGTCATCAGTAGCTAAATGTGCTGTTAGAAAGAGGGGCCTAGTAAGAAGTGGAGCACTAGGGACTTGACCTAGTAGGGTAGATTCTTGATCCTAGCTATTCCCATCTCTCTCTGCTTCCTGGCCACCATAAATTGAGCACCTTTTCCTCTGCCATGCCTTTCCCACTGCATCCAGTTCCTGTCTTAGAGCCAACCAACCACGGATTGAAACTGTACAGTAAGATTTCATGATAAAAACCTCTTCTTTAAATTGTGGATGTTGGATAGTTTGTTCTAACAATGGGAAAGTGACTAGAACAGATTTCAGTACCAGAGAAATAGGGTCATTTCTGTGACTATACCCAACCAAGATCTAGAAGCCTTTGGGTTCACAGGAAGAGTTTGCAACAGTCTGGAGGTGCTGGTTAGAGAAGCAGTAAACCAAGACTGATGGGAAATTCTGGTCAAAATTTAGAAGACAAGAATGCTGACAAGGATGTAAGCTTTAGGTTGGGGATTTAGTTCAGTGGTGCAGCACCTAGCAGTCATGAGGTCCTGAGCTTTATTCCAGTACCCACTACCCCAATAAAGAATGCAAGCTTTTGAGAAGCTCAGAAGCTGGGAACAAAGTTCAGTGGGCAGCTAGACCAGAGGCCATGTGTGTTACTTTCTGGCAGAAAATTTGTCTTCAATTTACCCATATCCTGAGACTCTGTGGGAGACTCAGATTAAATGAGTGTACTGCTTATTCTGCTGGAGGAATTTCAAGTTAGCTCAACAATCAGGCTGTGTTATAGGTACTGTTGGAGATTTTTAATCAGATTTATGCTGATAGAGAAGTCATATCACTAAATGAACAAATAAGAGGAAAAGTACTAAATCAATAATCTAAGCTCCCACTTTAAGGACCTAGAAAAACAGCAAATATACTCAAAGCAACCAAAAAAAAATACACTTCCAAAGAAAAGAAATAAAAGTTAGGATCAGAAATCATTTATACTGAAGACAGAAACCTTTTTTAAAAACCAATGAAACAAAGAGCTGATTTTTTGAAAAGCAAATGAAACTGACAAACTGTTAAGAATAACAAAGGAAAGGTACACAACACAAATTACCAATGTTAGGACTGAAATGGGAGAGCACAGTTTATTCATGTAAATTTGAAAACTACAAGGAAAAGTTCAATTCTTTAAACTGCCACAAACCACACAACATGACATAAGATGAGCAGCCTGGTAACTATTATGGGACCAAATCTATAATTTGAAAACAACCAAAAAAGAAACTTCTGGCCCTAGATGGTCACTTAAGAATCTTACTATTTAATGAATTAAAAATAATTCCATACTTACAATTTATTTTATAAAGCTAGTATTTCTCTGGTATGAAATCAAAGATAGTACTGTATGTAGAAACTATATGCCACTAGCCTTCATAAAGTAGTTTAAAAAAAAAACTCTACAACTTATGGTTAAAAAAAAAGTTTTACAATAACAGAAACAGGGAAAGGAAGGAGGTCTATTTCCACTATTACTGAACAGAGTGCTAATGTAACATAATGAAACAAAACAATTATACCAGAAAAGAATACAGTGCTAGAATCTAGCAAGCAAAATAAGGCTCAAAAGAAAGGGCTAGAAGATTATAAAAGAAGAGTTAAAATTGTCCCTATTTGCAAATGATAAGATGATCTATGTAGAAAATTTCAAAGAATCCCAACTTTTAAATGAACTTACCAAGGTCACAGAACACAAGGTAAACATACAAAAATCAACTATGTATAGTACTAATAAATGTCAATACAATTTAAAAACGATTACCTATAATCTCATAAAAAATTGTACAGTTAGATGTAAAAGTATAACTCTAACAAAGCAGACACACGATGGTATGCTGAAAATGCTAATGAAAGAAATAAAAAAATTATATTTAAAAAAGGGAAACAGCATGCTCATGAAGTGGAAGACTCAAAACAGTAAAGATATCAATTCTCACAAACTCATGTAGAGAGTCTCTCTGAGTGCCTACCAAAATCCCTAAGTCTTTTTGTAAATATAGTATATTTAGGTAAACTTAACAGCTGGAAAGAATAGCTCAGTTCTTCAAGATGATTCTAAAATTTATAAAGGTAAAAACTAGAATAGCTAGAAAAAAGTTTTTTGAAAAATCAGGAATAAAGTAGGAAGAATTAGTCTATGCTATGTGAAGACTTACACAGCTCTATGAATCAGTGTATGATAGATAATACGGAACACAGAAACAGACTCACATAAATGTGCTCAACTGACTTTTGACAGAAGTGCAACAAGTTGGCATGGTGATGGTTGTTTATATTTCCAGCACTCTGGGAAGCTGCAGCAAGAGGATTGCAAATTCAAGCCCAACCTGGGCAATTTAGTGACTTAGTGGGATTCCATCTCAAAATTTTAAAAAACCAGTAAATAAAATGCAACAATTTAACATAGGAATGAGAGCTTTTCAATCAACAGTGCTGCATCAGCTTGACATCCATAAACTCCCCAAAAATGACCAATCTTATAATAGAAAAATTAATTCTACACGTGTCATGAGATTAAATCTAAAATGTAAACTGTAACACTTTTGAGAAAAAAGAGAAAAATCTTTTGAGTCAAGAGTTAGACAGAGAGCTCTTAAGTTTGATACCAAAAGGAAAATCCACAAAAGGAAAAACTGATTAAATGAACCTCATCAAAATTTAAAGCCTTTGCTTTGCAAAAAAATTCCATTAAGTAGATAAAACGACAAACTACAAATTGAGAAGAAAAACTTTGCAAACCACATACCTGAAAAAGGACTAGTATCTAGGATACATAAACACTACACTCAAATCTAAACAATCCAACTGGAAAAAGGATGAAAAAGAAACGAAGGTACACTAACAGAAGAAATAGCAAATATGCATAAGAAAAAGCTTGCAGCGTCACTGACCACTGTGTAAATATAGTTAAAACTACAGTGAGTTATAGTGCACACAGATCAGAATGGCTACGGATAGGGAGGTTAACTGCTGACAAGGATATGGAGGAAATGGATCTCTCACACAGCGCTGGCAGGAACGGAAAAAGCGGCCACTCTGGGATCCAGTCCTGCTGTATGGTATATGTAAAACTAAACTTGCAGACAAGGAGAGTGGTACTCACCACTCTGGGAGGCTGAGCTAGGAAACTCACACATTGGGTAACTTAGGACTTAGGGAGACCCTGTCTCAAACAATTAAAAAAAAAAAAAGACTGGTGATACAGCTCAGTGTAAAGACCTTGGTTTGCAATTTCCAGGAGCCAAATAAAATATACCTAAGTACGCAATTAACAGAGGACCCAAAAATTGTATTCCTGAACATTTATTCCAGAGAACTGAAGACTTACGGTTACATTATGTTACATTAGGAATTACAGGAATGTGTATATTTATAATAGCCCCAAATTGGAAAACAATCTTAGTTTCCTTCAAACAAATTCTGGTACATCCATACCATGGAATACCACTCAATAAAATTACTGATACAGTACTGGCAATAACCTAGATGAATCTCTAGCAAACTGTGTGAAAAAAATCCAATCGCGTTCTCACCAGGCCCCCTCCACAGGTTCAACGCCCCCCCCCCACACACACACACTCAGAGCTATCGCACAGCGGTCCACAATAAGAGGCTTCCGATCGGGTAGGGAGGGCAGTCCAGGCTCTGTATCGCGGCCCCTCCCAGCCGCCATCGGAACCGTCTTCTGCAGCAAAGTGCTAGGACCAAGAGGAGTTCTAAAACCCGCTGGCCTCGGAGAGCTTTACACACGTTAAAAGCGGGGCATTTATAGTATTAGAAATTAAAACAGAACGTTTTCCACGGCAAGAACCGCGCAGGGTAAACATTCCCCACCGCGCGCCCCAGGAAGTCAGCGCACACACTGCAGCGCGCGGAGACAAAAGGCGGATCCCGCAGAGAACTCCGCTGGCCCCGAGTGGAGGCCCACCCGATGGCCCCCGGGCGCTGCTCCCAGTGCGGAGGGCGGTCGGAGGGGCTCGGGCTGCGGGGCTGTGCAGGGCGACGGGCCGCGCGCTGGGACCCTGAGAAGACGGGCCACTGCCTGTCCCTCCAGCGCCCGCCCGACGCTCCGGTCGGGCGAAGAGCCGAACGGTTTGCGCGCCAGGCGGGTCTCTACACGGATCAGCGGGCACCGGCCGGGGCTCGGGGGTTCTCGCGGAGCCCATGGGCTCCGAGTGTTACGGAGGGGCGCCGGAGACCTGGGACACGGGCCAGAAAGTTCTGGGGGTCCCCAGGGCTGCGGCAGAGGGCGCGGACTCACCCGGCGCCGCGCGTCATCGGTGGCGGCCATGGCCGGGCGGGCGGGCAGCGAGTGGCGGGCTCACCCAGCCCGGCCAGAGCGCGTCCCGCGGGCGGCGGCCAGGAGGGCGGGGCCGCGGGGGCGGGGCGGGACCCGCGGGGGAGCGGACGGGGGGCGGGGCGGCCGTTAGGGGGCGGGCCCAGGGCGGGCCGGCGTTCCCGCACGTCGGGAGAGCCCCTCCGGAACGCCGTTGGAGCTCAGAAGACGGAAGCCTGGGCGGGAGAGCAAATGAACAGAGCGGGAACCAGAGGAAGCCTACAGGAGGGGAGGGCAGGCCGAGCGCCGGCGGCGAGAGCAGAGATTGCAAACAGCACAGACCGGAAGTGGGCGTGACTAGGCGCCGGGACCGGAAATGGGTGGGTCGGGGCGTGGCAGGGGCGTGGTCGCCCGCCCGGGCCCTAGAGGCGGTGAGGTGTCCTGGGCCCCAGTCTTGTGAGCCTAGTTCCCGCGGCCGGCTTAACTCCAGCGCCTTCGCCAGCGCCATGGGGCCCGGCTGAGCCACCTTCTGGGAACAGCAGGGATGCAGATGGAGGGGCCTGTGGAGCCGAGCCCCGAGGCGGTGCTGGGCTTCCTCGCCGAGCGCGGGGGCCGCGTCCGGCACGCGGACCTGGTGGAGTACTTCAGGGGCGCCCTGGGGGGCGAGCCGGAGCAGCGCGCCCGAGCCCGCGCGCGCTTCAAGGAGCTGGTCAACGCCGTTGCCACCGTACGCACTGACCCCGCCGACGGCACCAAGTATGTGCACCTGAAGAAGCGCTTCTGCGGGGGAGTCCCGCCGCCAGTGGACCCGCCCTGCCTGACCTCTGAGCCCACCCGCGACTCTCCTGGTCCGTCCCCTGAGACCCCGCGTGACCTGCCCGCGCCGCCCTCCGAGCCTTCGCCGGAACCTGCGGGTCAGCCCTCGGAGACCGCTCTTGAGCCGCCCCGCCCACCCCCAGATGACTGGCCTGCCACTCCGAGGGCCACGCGCCCCGGCCTGCGGGACCCGGCGCCTGGCGGTTCCCCGCGGCCCGGGCGCAGCAGCCCCGCGAGTGCTTGCGGGGGAGGTCGTGGCAGGGGTGACTTGGACAGCGCATCGGTGACTTCGTCCACGGCGGAGGAGGAGGGCGGCGGGGCCGCTGTGGCGCTGGAACCCCTGGAGCATGCCTGGATGCTGTCGGCTGCCGACGGCCACTGGGCCGGCCTGGAAGCGCTGCTCGCCTGCGAACCCAGCCTGTTGGTCAAGCGCGACTTCATCACGGGCTTCACCTGCCTGCACTGGGCCGCCAAACATGGGCTGCAGGAATTGCTGGCCACGCTGGTCAACTTCGCCAGCAAACACCAGCTGCCGGTGAACATCAACGCGCGCACGAGTGGAGGCTACACCCCCCTGCATCTGGCAGCCATGCATGGGCGCGTGGAAGTGGTGAAGCTGCTGGTGGGGGCCTACGACGCCGACGTGGAGATCAGGGACTACAGTGGGAGGAAGGCCTCCCAGTACTTGAGTGTAAGCGTCGCTGAGGAGATCAAGAGCCTGGTGGGCGCTCTGGACGAGGAGGAGGTGGAGAGCTCGGCCGGCAGCGGGGGCGGGCGCTGGAGGCTGTCGAAGGTGCTCCCTGCACACCTCATCACCTACAAACTCTCACACGTGCTGGAGGATGGGGACCACCACCACTTGACTGAAGGGTGGGCTGGAGGCAAAGCCAAGGATCGCAAATCTTCAGGCAGCTCGGGTGGAAGAATAAAACCCAGACTCAACAAGATCCGCTTCAAAACCCAGGTCATCCACAGCACGCTGTCTTCCCGGGATCCTGAGCAGCCGCTGGAGGAAGAGGAGGAGGAGCGGACCTTTCGAGGCCACTCGTCCTCCTTCAAGTTGAGACCCAAATCCAATGTGTTTGGATAAAAAGTAATTGTTTCCCGAAATGCTAAGGTGTGTCTGTCTTTGGAAAGGAATACTAGGTAAGTAAGGAAGAGAGACCAGAAAAGACAGAATTATGCCTTTTTGAGGAGCTAGGGTGAGTTGGGAGAAATCTATTCAGGCTAGTATTCTAGGGGAAGTGGATTTCTTTTAAGTGATTAATTAAGTGATACTAGCTGTTCAATTCATTCCTGTGTAAGTACCACTTACTAAAAGTAGAAATTTTTTAAAGGGTGCTTCTTAATTACATTTCATTCTTTATTTGTGTTAAAGTAAATGGTTTTATAAAAATTTTACTAACAGGAACCTTAAGCCCTTTTATAATAAGCTAAGGTGTGTCTGTGGAGGATTAATTTGACAATGTCTCCGTGCCTCCTCCCCACACCACCCCTTGAAACTCTGGTTTCTGAAGACTAGAAATGTACTAAATTGGGGAACAGACTTGATGATTGAGAGTTCTTGCACTAAGCACTACTGGGTACATCCAAAGGAAGGAATAGTGCGCTTATATGTATCTTTTTCTAAATAGCTACTTTTTGAACAGCAACAAAAAAGGCAAATTGTAATGAAACTGGTAACATTTGTAAGTATGAACAAAACTACATGCTACCTTTTTTTTTTTAACTGATTACATTTGTTTTTTAAGGTACTACTGAAGGTCAGATCTGAGATGAGTTTCAAAAATACTGATTAGAAAGCAATGTAAATGAAAATGAATCCTGTTGGTATTCTAGTTGTATTGTAAGTAGCTGTTCAGTTATGTTTTTAAAGCAGTTTTAATTTTAAATCACTGAGGAAATAGGCACCATTTACTTTTGAATTAAACTGTACTTTGGTTTCCACGTTTATCCAACACCACTGCACTCTGTGGGCCATTATTAATGACTACCCAAACTTATTTAGAGAGAACACTTAACCTATGGTACTTTTAAATAAAATATTGTTTCTTGTTCTGATTGTCATTAACTTGTTTTTCAGTTGTAACAGTCTAAATTTGGTAGGGTTTTTATGCTGGGGTTCACATAACCTTTGACTGAACTATAAGGTACGTAGGAAGAATTACTCAACAGAAACTAGAGTTAGGGTTAAATTTGAAAAAGATGGCATGTTTGTGAGCCTATGCTATGAAGTAATTATTAAGAATGATTCTTCTCTAAGAGATTTTTTATTTCACTAATACGTTCATAGTTTCTATATTTTGCTGCAACATTTGCAGATGTTTAGAATGCTAAATCTAGTTTTTCAGTTTTTTTTTGCATCTGCTCAAAGAGCTATGGTATAGATACTGAAAAGCTGGGTGGTAAATCTTACCAGATTAAACATGCACTTTATAAAAGGAAAAGAGAACAAACAGAATTATTTCTGTATTTAAATGCTGCTAGCTATTCAATTCATATGTAAGTGAAAAATACCACTTAATAAAGTAGAGATTTTTTTTTTAAGAGTGGTTCTTAATTACATTTCATACTATATTTGTGTTAAAGTAAATGGTTTTATAATTAAAATTTTACTAGCAGGTACGTTAAGCCCTTTTATAATAAGCTAAGATGTCTGTGGAGGGTTGATTTGACAATGTCCTTTCCTGAAATGTTTTTGGTCTCTTGAGTGCTGACACCGAAGTTGCTAGTACAGGAGTGAGTTACAGAGTGCAGGAGTCCACACAGGATCTGTGCAGAGCTGTGACATTTAGGGCTCTTAGATCTTCAGTTTTCTAAGTCATAGGAATTTGTAACAAGTTCATCAACCAGATCACTGCCTACATGGCAATTGCATTTGCTTATAAAGGGGTGAAAAAAATTCATGAAATACATAAACTACTGTCCGTTTGTCTCCCTTTATTAATGTTTTAGGATTTGGGAAATGGACCATGTACATTTGAAAAGCACAAAAGTGTTGGGGGAGAAGCCTAGTTTTGTGTAAATTAAAATAGGTTCACAGAGGGTGAAAAGCAGCATTGGTTTTGAGTCTATGCATTACTAGGTAGTGCAGAATAAGCTACAATTTTCCACAGAGAAATCTTTATAATTTCATAGACATGTAAAATTAGGACAACTGTAGACTCCTTCAGAACCATCTAAATGTTCTGTTGGTCAGTATTAATCTTCTAAACTATATGTTAATAATTACACAAAACCTACAATTCAATTTGCTAAATCTTTAGAGATTGAGTTACTTTTTCACACTAAAGGTTGTAACTTTCTGGTAAAATAATCATTTAAATTTTCCAAAGTCATTCCTGGAGGAGAGCTGTGGTACCGTTTCTTGTTATGGTGTGTTTGTGTAAGTGTAGTATTTTCAGCTACTTAGCTCTACATTCCTCATGTTTCAATTCTTAATCACAACTAGTAATATCTTCAGAGTTGTGCCTACCATTAACATGTCAAACACTTAGATGATTATCGACATGTGACTGTGTTTTATACAAACATTCCTGTGCTTTTTACAGGTAGTGTTGAAACTAATGAATGTCACTGTTTTGGTGGTATGAAAAATGTGAATAGCTTACGTAGCTTAAAAAAACTAGTACTAGTTTATTCATGCCTAAAATTGAGTCTAAGATGCCTTGTCTCTCACTTTTTTAAGTAAGTGGAAGTTTGAGAGTGTCAAATCAGTTTTTAAAGTGCATTTTTGTCAAAATAAAATGTTCATACTAAAGTGTGTCTCTGAGTTGTCTGATTTTCTGCAGCCTTTCAGTCATCACCTATAATCCTGTTTATTGATCATGAAGTGCTTTTTGAGGTCTCTGTCCAGTGGTTGTGCTAGCAATTGTTCACACATGCAGAGCTGAGGGCTCAGAGCACCGCAGTCCAGTTAAACAGGAGTTCCAGCTGGGCCTGAGAGGTGAGCTAGTTAAGCAATGGGGTGTCACATGACAAATGCATTGGGGTGGTTGAGCAGTTCCTTTGCTCCTTTCAGCAGAGAGGACTCCACCTGACCTCAGCTATCTATATGTCTCTTATCTTAATTTCTCCATTCTCTTGTCATTCACATTATTTGACCTTTTCCTACCCCTCAGAGGACAGTCCCTAATTAACAGGAAATGAGGTTGGTGGCTGTTACGGTCACAGGACATGAAGGGAAGATCTTAGGAGTCCTTCCCATGATGTTATCCTTCCCACACTTTGGATTGCCACATTTTGGGCAAAACTTGTAATTCAGTAGCGGTGAGGGAAGAATCCACTTGAAGAGATGGTAGTATCTCTGCCACTATCTTTTAGGAACAGAAACCTATTTGGGTACACAGGAGCTGTAAGTCCACCCTGACCAAACCTTGAGACAAGTATGGGATTGCCTGTTAAAGAGTTTTCTGGTGCAATAGAAGAAAGAAAAGTGAAAGTGACCATTTATTTGAAGATGCAGAGAGGGGAGAAGAGCCCACAATCTTACTAGCAGATATAGAGGGGCAGAGAGGGTTATATGACCTGTGATTGGAAGTGGCATATGGCACAAGCATTGATGTTTGAGGAACTGATTGGAATTTTCTTCTGGTGCAAATAAAAGTTAACAATTTGGGCTTAAGGGGAAAAAAAAAAGAGAGTGGCTATCTCTCGGCAAGTGTTCCACTTTGGCCTTCCACCATGTTAGACCATCACCATAACTGTACAGTAATTTATACTAAGGCAAGAACCTTTCCTTGCCTTTTTCCACTTACACCAGCATCCTTCAAACAATGGATGTTAATTTTTTCATCTAGATGGCATCTGTCTTAGTTACTTTTTACTCATTGCTGAGACAAAATACCTGAAGCCCAAAGTTGGGAAAGGAAAAGTTTATTTCTTACAGTTTTTGGAGGTTTCAGTCCACATTCAGTTGACTCCAAGGCAGGCGGGCATGGCTGGGCCGCAGTTCATGGCGGCTGCAAACAGCAAACAGGAACCAGCAAAGAGCAAGACACACCTTCTTCCTGCCATTACATCACATCCTGGCTCCACCCCTATGTGGCTATAGCACTGACACCATCAATCCAAGCACTAGACAATGAACCATCGCAAATGCACAATGCAAACTCATGAGGCCTGGGGGCCACAGACATAAACCATGACATTCCACCCCTGGCCCCCAGGACTCATGTACATCCTTTATACAAAAGACATTTAGTCCACCTCCAAGAGTTGCCAAAGTCCTAAGTTTCAGCATTGCTGAACAGTCCAAGTCCCAAGTCTCTTCCAAGATCTATGGCAAACTCTTAACTGTAACCCCCTATACAAATGAAACAAGGTTAAACATTTCTGAAATGCAAAGGCACAAGATAAACGTTACCATTCCAAAAGTTACAAATGGGAATATAAAGTATTGGAAACAAAGCAAGTCCAACATCCAGCAAGACAAACATTAAGTCCCAGAGTTCCATGCTCAGCATCTGAAGCAATCTGGTTGCAACCTCCAAAAGGCTTGGGTGATTCCACCCCCAGGGCACTTTCAGGGATATCAGCTCTCTCAGCTTCTCTCTTAAATCCTCTCTGCTCGCTTTTTGCAGCTTTCTTTGGATCACCCACAATCCTGGATTTTCCAAACTTCCGGGGTCTCCACTGCACCTTTGGCTTCACCTTTACATCTTCACCAATTGCCCTCTCAGGGGCACACTGCTTGGCCTCCCAGGCCCTTTGCAATTGAAGTGGAAGCTGTCTTACCCTCAGAATTCGTGTATTTTCCTTGCACCTAAAATCAGCACCTTGTGGATGCTGCCAAGGTCTGCTGCCAGCTGAAGCAGTAGCCAGGCTTTTCTCTCTCTTGGCTGTAGGGGTCAGTTGCCTGGATCACAGTGCTCTGTTTACCTGACTGTGAGGAAAAACTTTTCTACATTGCCACCATTCTGGAACTTCATGTGGCCTCTGTCGCCATCCTGGAGCATGGTGCTCTGCAGCCTTCTCCTCTGAATAAATTCTTTCACCTTTGCTGTGAGGCTGCAAAGGGTGGGGACCCACTTCTTGGGATGCCCCGGGGCCATCTTTTTTGTCTCTCTCTTTCCCATCAACAATCAAAATCTCAACTGTCTTTACAATCCACAGCCTTCCTGGAATTTTCCCTCTGGCCAAACTCACGGCATTGTACATTATCCTGCTGGGCTCTTTGCTCTAGATTTGAAACATAAAGCTTGCTGAAAGCCCCCAACAATAGCCATGCCACAGCCTCAATGTTCGATTGCTTTTTAATTTGTTTTTCAAGATTAGTCAGTCCATTGCCCTTTGTCTCAGTCTCAGGCAAAGTCTCTGGGCATGAGCAAAATGCAGACAAACTTTCTTCCAACCCATAACACACAGCATGGGGAGTCCAACAACCAATGCCGTCCTTCCCAGCAGAAACCTCCCAAGTCTGGTCTTTACTATGAGGCTTTCTATCAGCCTTCTGGTCTCCTGAGCTCTGACCAAATCTCCTCTACAGAACAGCCTAAGCTGCTTCAGCTCTATGCATCCAGGCGACATGTCCAAAACCTTTCCAAACTCTGCCCACAAGCCATTTCCAAAGCCTCTTGAGAAACATGGTCAAGTATAGTCACAGCAAATGACCCTATTCCTCGGTACCAAATTCTGGCATAGTTACTTTTTTTACTCATTGCTGAGACAAAATACCTGAAGCCCAAAGTTGGGAAAGGAAAGGTTTATTTCTTACAGTTTTTGGAGGTTTCAGTCTACACTCAGTTGACTCCAAGGCAGGCGGGCATTGCTGGGCCGCAGTTCATGGCAGCTGCAAACAGCAAACAGGAACCAGCAAAGAGCAAGACACACCTTCTTCCTGCCATTATATCACATCCTGGCTCCACCCCTATGTGTGTGGAGCACTGACACCATCAATCCAAGCACTAGACAATGAACCATCACAAATGCACAATGCAAACTCATGAGGCCTGGGGGCCACAGACATAAACCATGACAGGATCTGAATGTATAGTTTGCAAAATCTGTGTGTCTCAAATGGTAGAGAAATGTGGGAAACCTTGGCATGATTGAATCCTTGGTGCGTTTGCTTTCTTAGAGAAAGATGACTGCTGAGATTTGCGTTCTTTTGTAATTACCATAAAATGTGTTTTGGTGTAACTGAAAGACAGTAAACACTTTGTTTCTGGAATGACATCTTTAAAGTGCCTATTTTAAAAGGATTCATTGGGTCATTCAAGCAGTTCAAAGTATCTTTGAAGACTTTTGTTAGAGGATTTTTTTTTTCCTAATAGTGTTATTTGGAGTTACTTGTATGAATAATCCCAAAATTAAATACTTTGGGAACTTGTTGCAAACCAGTGTTCTTTCAAGATAAGACATCAAAATATCCTAAAGATAGCTCCCTAAAGGAGCTAGGAAACAACTCCATCTGAACATGTTTCTTAGGACATAGCAAAAGGTTCTTTCACATCACTCTGCTGCCTCTTCTCCCACAAGAATACCACTCTAAGGTAACCATACTTTTTTCTCATGATCCCTAGATCCCTTTCTCAGAAGTACCTGTTAGAAGTTGCTTACTTTTCTATACTGATGTGGTGAGGAAATGTGTGTGGCAAATGCCCCTGTCTTGTACCTGATGTGCTAAGGATATTCTGTAAGAAAACCTCTAAATGGAAAACGTTCACTATTTCATAGCATTGTATAATATAGGTAATTACATTGCATGCATTCATGCTAAGTGAATAAAGGTAGATTTTTTTTTAATGTAACATGGTTCTTAAATGCAAACTTGTAGGTAGCAACTGAAGCTGGAGATGGATCCTACTCGTGGGACTACAGCAGGGACATCCAAGAACAAAGAGCACCCCAGGCGAGCCTTGTGAACAAACTACTGCAGCCCAGAGGACACCAGGTGCCTGAGGCAATCCAAACAAACATTTTGCTAGGCAGAGGGTTGCCCCATGACATCAACCTGTTGAATGTGTAAACAAAGGTGGAGTGGTGGTTGAGAAGTTCTTTTCTCCCATCAGGAGAGGAGGCTTTATCTGACTTCAGCTTTCTACATTCTCTCTTGGCTTTATTTCTTCATCTCCCACTGCCCTTCATCCCCAAAATTTCAAGAGCTATGCAAGATGAGACACAAACCCATTTCATCATCAGCTCAATCTGATTTATTCCAAACTAATAATTAATTTATTCCAAACCCTGGAGGAGGTGTAAAAATCAGCTTAAGATTTTACTTTGTGAGTCATTTAAGAAATTTTCAAGAATAAATTTTATTGTAAGAGAGTTCTAACTTAAAAGCTGACTGAATTACATAAACCCTAGGAGAATCCAATCTAACTGACCTTGAATATTCTGAGTACTGATAGGTACACAAATTAACTGCTATCTACTTAATTGACTACTTACTACTTAAATGACTACTTAATTGATACGGAAGTGAAGTATAGTTTAGCATAGAGAACTTTCTAATAATCATTTTAAGTGTGCTATGGACAGGCTAATAATATAAAACATTTACCCTTTGAAAATGATGGTTAGTTTAGCACCCGAAAAAATAATTTTAAAGTTTCTTCCTCACAATGTCTCAAAAACTACCCATTCTTGATACAAAATTCATTCTTCAAAATTAAAGAATAAATTTTAGAACAATGGAGATTAAGAAAAGAATATACTTATTGAGAGAAAGAAAACTTGTGTCTGAGAGACAGAAGGAGTCCCAAATGGGTTGCCAAGGACTGTCTTTTCTAGACTTTTCTAGAGAAAATCATGGGG